AGGACTCGTTTCCCCCTTGATGAACCAGAGCGTGGTGTAAAGGCCGCTGCGACACGTGAGCAAGCAGATGCGTGCCATGTGCGCGAATAGAATGGTTGAGGAGGACAACAGGGCTGCACGCCGAGCCCAGGGAGAAGGAGAGTTGCGTCGCAAGAGGGCGACGGAGGACGAGGAGCACGGGTCATCTGAGCAGGCGGCGCGTGGCGCCGCCGAGAAGGGATATCGTGACGGTTCTGAGCAGGTAAACCCGAGTTGAGGAGATGAGAGAATGTTTCGGTCGTTGAGAAGAGGCTATGAATTACAAGAGTGTTGACGGCGGGCGCAGTTGGCAGAGCAGAGGCGAGGGCCGAATGACACAGCAAGGATATCGTTGAACGTCAAGAGAAGCGAGCAGAAGATCGAGCCCACCGTAGGGCCGACGAACAGTTCGAGATGATGATGGCTGATAGTCGAGGTTCGATCTCTCGAAGAGGAGTCGAATCATCTGGAGGCCGCCGCCGCAGCACCTGCAGCCGCAGCACAGGCTGCCTCGGACTCGCTCCCAGACGATCTATGCGATCCGAAGAAGGTGTCAGGATGTCTCAAGATGTCGAGTTGTTAAAAAAGAGAAGAAAAATAGATGCCTGGATGTCCCTGATGTCAGGGATCTGAAAAAATAGATGTCAGGGATCTCTCATTTTTGTCTCAAGATGTCAGGACGTCGAGATGTCAAAAAACGAGAAGAACAAATGTACGACCTGCTCGGAGGAGCGGCGCCCCTGGCTGCCGACGAGAAGGAGTTGGACAATGAGCCAGCCAGTCGGTCGCCCAGGGGCGCCCGGCGTGGAGGCCCGAGCGGTGACCCCCACGACGGGGGCGATGGGGACGGCGGGGGCGGTGGCCCTTCCAGGCGGGGCCGGCCTCTCCTGCTGCCGGCGGGCTCCTGCGGTGATGCGTGGGAGATCAGATATCCAGGGGGGGGCGGCAGAAGGCACACGGGCACACGGAAGCACACGGGAAGTGGGGGGAAGACGAAGGGCCAGAACGTACAGGGGAAATTCTGGGTCATCCTGAGATGTTGTTGTCTATGTATTTGCGTGTCCCTGGGCCCCTTCACCTAATGAGGAGGTTCAGGCGGGGGTTCTGCTCCGCTGCGTGGAGGAGGACCACCGGGAGGGGGCGACTCACCAGAATTGGCCAGGAGTTGGAGTTCGAGCCGCTCCCGCAGGGAAGGAGTCGACCCTGCTCGAGAAGAACGGCGGGTCGACGGTACCAATCCCAGAGATGCCGAATGTCCTCAGCCAGCCAGAATGGAAGAGGACGCCGTGTGGCGCCGTTGCAGGCGCAGCCCCTGACGTCTGCAATGCCCTGTTGTGGTTTCAGCAGGCGCTGGAAAACTACGTTCCCGTGGAAGTTCTGCAGGGCCAGGTTAAGTTCGCACAGCTGCACTTCGCAATCGCGGCAGATTTGCTAGTCGAGAGGCACACTATGAGTAAGTCTGAGACACTGCATGACACGATCAAGCAGTTTTTGATTGAACTTGGAAGTGTATGGGGGGAGAATTTTCCTCAGGGGGCGAGAAATGGTGAGTGTCCTCGTGTGATGCGCGGCAGTGCGGTCTGATCGCAGTGCGGTCTACTCCTGCACCGCCCTGATGATGTGCCTGTCTTCGCCCCCCCGTGTCGTCCGCTTCCCCCTGTCGTCGCGCTCGTCGGCCCCGCCAGCGGGCGGACACAGCCGCCTTCCCAATGCCGCATCCCGCCCACCTAGATGGTGTGTGTATGAGGGGTGGGGGGGACGGCTAAACCTTTCTGGAGGACACAGGCCGCCAGCTTTGAGCTCTGAGGTGGAGGAGGACGAGGGGGAGGAGGAGGAGGAGGAGGAGGAGGAGGAGGAGGAGGAGGAGGAGGAGGACTAGCACGAGTGCGAGGCCAGCTGGAGTTGGGCGGAGGAGCTGAGCAAGAGGAGGAGGAGCAACAGCAGGTGTGCCAGGAGGAGGGGACGACGAACCGACTCGGAAGAAGATGATGATGAGGAGGAGGAGTTCCAGGAGGGACAGAGGGTCGGATGAGCATGGTTGGGAGGAGAAGCGAGGGCTGAAGATAATTGAGAGGTGTAGAGGATGAAGAGGAGGAGGAGGAGGAGGAGGAGGAGGAGGAGGAGGAGGGGGAGGCGGCCCGGGAGGCGGGGAGGATGGGAAAATGAGCAGGAGGTTGATGATGACGATGATATCGATCATGCGGATGACGATAAGGAGAAGACAGGGAGTAGGATGTGGATGAGGAGTTTATAGCAGAATTGAGGAAAAGTAAGAGTATGCCAAGAAGCAGGTAAGACGAGACGCAACGGCAGGTGGAGCTCGGTGAGGGCGAGGAGGACGAGACGAGGGCATGTGCATCACACGTAGCACAAGGCAGAACAGAAGTACGGTGACAGATCGGCAACATCAGGACAGGCATCAGTGCCACCGGCGCGTGGATCCCACCAAATTGTAGAGAGTCGGAAGTCAGAGGATACCCGAGAGACAATGAGAACACCCTCGGAAGCAAGGGCCGGCCGGTGATGGACAGGTGGCAGGACGATTAACACACCCAGAGCCTCGCAGCTGAGAACAAGAGTGATGGGAGTGGTCGGGGGTGAGTCGGACGGGGCTAGGACGAGGATAAATCCGTTCCAGAGCGTTCCGGAACGCTCTCAGAGCGTTCTGGAACGCTCTCAGAAGGCCGCGGCGCCCGAGACATCTTCCAGGGCCGCCGCCTCTCGGAGATTCGCGACTTATCCTCACCCAGGTTTGTCCTCGCGCTTGCTTCGTCTTAGCGAGGGTGGGGAAGCGGTTTCTTCGGGCGGCGCTCTCCTGGCGTGCCACCCCTTCGCTCTGACTGGCGCCGGGGCCAGTCGTCACAGGCGATCTCCTCCCCACCGAGCCCCGAATTTCCCCCGGCAACGACTGGGGCGCTCAGAACAGAAGGGAAACCGGGGTATCCACCCCCAGGGGCCCTCAGGGGGCTACTTGCTCACCCCTTTCGAGGATGGTCCTCCCACGGTACCCTATTTTTATTCCTGGGATTGGCCCTAATTGCGTGGTCCAGTCGAAGGCCTCACAAAGGAGGGGACTGCGGCCGCCCTACCCCCCGTTCAGTCGAGGCCACCTCCAGACCGGAGAGGAGTATTCTCTTGCACAGCTGTGGTCTGGAGCTCGGAGCCACTTGTGCTCCCTGTCGTTCGTTCGCTTGCTCGTCCGCCACCCCGAGCCCCTTCTGTTTGCCCCCGCCTCCTCCTGATGGCCGTGATGGGGCCCGAGGAGAACACCAGGACGGCCCCGAGAAGCCCCCCCCCCCCTCGCCCCCGCCTCGCCCCGCCCGCGCCCTCGCTCGCCTGCAAGAGCCCGGGCCCGCGCGCCCGCCTCTTCTGCACGGCAGGGCGGCGGGCCCCCGGCGGCGCGCCCCCGCGGCGACCTCGGCGCTCCGCGGGGGCAGCGCGGGGCCAGTCTCGGGGGGACGGACAGACCTCCTGCCCTGACGCGTCGATGAAGGATTAAGGAATGGGCCGTGTTCGGTTCGCGAGGGGGGCGTCGCGGTCGTCATTCTTGCAGGTCCGGGTGCGTCGGTTTCGGTCCCGGGCCGTTTTCACGAAAGGGAGGTTTGCCAAAGGGAGGCTTGTCCACCGCCGACAGTCGGAGCCTGCGGTGGCGAGCGGAGGGGGCCGTCGACGCCTCTTGGCGCGTCGGCGGCGCGCCCCCCGGGGGGGGGAGGGGAGGGCAGCTTTGCAGAAGGCCCGCGGCCTTCCGAGCCCTCTGCGCAGGCCCGCCACTGCTCACCTCCCCCCCTGGGCTCGGCGCCGAGCCACGGTGGCCATCCCTTGCGTTGTCCGTCCTTTGTGCGTGCTCCTGGATGCCTCTCGCCGCCACGGCTGGATCCGCCTCGGAGAACGGGTCCGGACCGACCCTGGGAGGGGTCCAGTGGCCGATTCTGCGGGACACGATTTCTGCTTGCGGGTGTGCAGTGGGGCTGCTCGGGGCGGCCGGCGAGTCAGGGGATGTTTCGAAGCATGCCAGGGCAGCAGACGGGCCAGAAGGGGCCCGTGCGAGGGCAGGTCTCATGAGTCCAAGCAAGAGCTCCTCACCTTGAGCACTGCGGGCGAAAGATGTAGCGGCACTGGCGCAGCACTTGTGAATTTCGTATTCGCCCTTGCCGCCAGAGTTGCAACACCGACCAGAGGAAGATGGGTATCATACACCTCCACTGAATGTGCATTAAAGCTCAGAGTGGCCCAGGGGACAGGCACTTAGCAGCCAAAGAGCAGCTGACATGCGCAACCGCTCATGCCAGCTGCTGCTGCTCTTCCTAATTTGCCTCGTCCCGCATCCTCATGCAGCTTCCGCCTCACACCTCCTCCTCGCCCCCCCAGCCTCACCCATCTTTTCCCTCCTCCTTATCACCCTTCCTCTTTATTTCTGCTGCGTTACGTCTTCCTCGTTTGGCTTCTGGTGGTGCGAGGGTGCGCGGTTATGACTTCAGCTGATTGCGGTCGGATGGATTTCATGGACAATCCCTAAGAGACGACATGAGCACACTCGTTCTCCCGCCCCCTCGGTCTCTATTGTGGTTGTTTGTTGTTTGCAGGGCATTGTTCCTGTCCCCTTGGCATCCTCAACATACGTTGGAAGACCATCGTCAAGCCGACCCTGCGTTTCCGCTTCAGACCGTCAGACAAAAATCTCCAGCACAAGCCAGCAACAATTGGCAACAGCAGTCCACGACCCGTCCAGTGGCCCGGCGAGTTGGTTCAACTCGATCGCCGTTTTTACATCACTGCATCGACTGGCACGCGTCCGTCGCCAAAGACGTCAGGTGACCGCCTGTGCGACTCGCGCCGCCGCTATGGCCTCTGGATACAGCACCGATGCCACGTCGGCCGGGGAAGACGATTCCGACGGCCACTTCATCGAATCATCGAAGCCGTACCGTGGTGTGGGCCTGTGCTGCACCTGCGTCCCCGCCGGCCAAGCTGGCGTCGTGCAGATGTTCGGAGATTTTCAGGGCTATACGGATCCTGGTCTCACGTGCTATTGTTGGCCCTTCCAGAGCGTTCAGGTAGTGTCCTTGGCGGTCCGGCAGTTGGTCTGCGAGACAGACTGCAAGACGAAGGACAACGTGACTTTGAAGATAAAAACTGCCGTGCAGTACCGCGTCAACAAGGCGAGGATTAAGGCAGCTGTGTTTGATATCTTAGATCCCCAGGGGCAAATAGGAGCCTCGGTCGACAACGTTGTGCGCTCGAGTGTCCCCGCAATGACCTTGGACGAGGCCTATGAGAACAAGGAGTCGCTGTGCAGCAGCATTATCCAGTCTGTGTCTCCCGCTTAGTGGACTGTTAAGGGTGGTTGGTGTGCTGTCGGTTGTGGTTTCACATAGAACGTGTTTCATGTTAGGTTCTTTGCGCACCTGCTAAAGCACTTTCTCTTTGTCCGAGGTGGCTCATGCCGACCGTTTGCCAAGCAGTGCTTGCTGGGACCCTAGCTTGTCCTTGGTTATTCCCTCTGTTTTCTCGCAGGCACCCTGCGGTGGACACTTCCCGTGTGGGACCCTGCGATCGGCGGCAGGGTCCCAAACCATAAAGTTGTGTTCGGCACGGTCCTTCGCTATAGGATCCCACACGATGATGTCCCACACGCTGGGGCCCCACACTCTATGGCAGGGCCTCGGACGATAGGGGGCATCGATTGACACGACAGGGACCCAACCGACAGGGCCCTTGCGACAGGGACTCACACGATCGGGTCCAACCCGACTGGGTCCCACACGATCGGGTCGCACCCAATATGGCCCCACACGATATCACCCTCGACATATTCCCACACGATAGGGACCCACAGAAAAGGGTCACACACTACAGGGTCCTACACGGTCCGGTCCGTCCCCCCCCCAGCATGGTCCCAAACGGCAGGGTTTCATCCAAAGAGTCTTACTCAATAGGGTCCCACATAGTAAGGTCCCACACTACAAGGCTCACCGCATAGGGTTTCTTCCTCGGGGTTCTCTCCCCGTGGTGTCCCTTCCTGTTGGGTCCCACATGACGGGGGGCGCCCCATGGGATCCCAGAACACAGGATCCCACCTTATGAGGTCCCAACCCATAGAGTGCACCCCGTGGCTTCCACCGAAGTGGCAGGACCCAATAAGTTGTGCAGAGACATTGTGTGGGGCCAACGCCAGTATCATAGTTTAGCTTGCCCATTTCTAGTGATGTTGCCACTCGCTTTTGCAACGGATCGCGGGAGGGCGAGCTGGAGGACCGTTGCAGACCAGAGGCCTTGTTCTTTGTCCATCCTTTCCTCGAACAGTGCATCTGCATTTCTTCATGCCGGGCTACGCTACCGTCTATTGCGCGTGTCAGCATTGTGCAACCTACCCGGTTGATGGTATCGAATCAAGAAGCATCGAAGTCTAGTAAGCCCCCCCAGGTCCAGCATGATGGAGCACTACGGGTACATTATTTTGAACGTCTTGGTTACAGACTTGTCCCCAGAGCAGAGAGTGTTGCAGGCGATGAATGAAATCAACGCTGCCAGGAGACTGCGCGAGGCAGCCGTTGAGCGAGGCGAGGCCGATAAGCTCCTCCAAGTGAAGTCCGCCGAGGCCGACGCGGAGGCGAAGCACCTGTCGGGCCTGGGTGTCGCGCGCATGCGCAAGGCAATCGCGGATGGCTTCAAGGACAGCATGCAGTCCATGAGCGCAGGCGGGCTCTCCCCGCAGGAGGCGGTGCACATGATGGTGACCACGCAGTACCTGGACACTCTGAAGGACTTCGCCAACAATGCAAGCGCCTCCTCCATCATGATTCCGCACGGGCCTGGTTTTTCCAAGGCCCTCGAGGAGCAGGTGCGAGACGGCTTCAACAGCGCCGCGAGTGCGCCGTCGCAGGCAGCCATGAGCTAAAGGTGAGATGTCAGGCGCCGATGCGCGCCAATGCCATACGCCAGCAGAAAACAACACGGGTCGAGCTTGGGTCTAAGGTTACCCAGGTTCGTAACAGGGCAGCTTGCAGCCAAACAGTGCTGAGAGCAGCCAAGCAATAGTTTTATCTGGGCATGATCTTTCGTTGTGCGCCCGCGAAGGGCTGCATCTTGAAGGCGATGTGTGGTCTGTGTATATGCGTAAGTGTCTGGAGCAGTCATTGACACAGGGCCGCCCAGCCAAAAACGCATCGAGCCGTGCAGGCAATCGCATCGCCGATGCCCATCAGCACAAAAAAACGCAGTCCGCGTCAGGACCCGGCACAAGAGGCAGCCGTAGATGTCGTACAGTGGAAACCCATGCCAAGAAACACCTTGCTTGCCTCCAGGGCTCCCTGGGTTTCTTGGCTTTCGACGGCTGTGCTATGGAAAGCGTGAAGCTCCCACACCAAAAATTAATGGAAGTCTTGGGCTTCCAGGGTTGGGGTTTCCTGCGGAAGGTTCTTTTTGGTCGAGCTCCTACTGTATGTCTGGGTACCGGCGGTCGGGCCCTGGGCCAGCACGCCCTCCCCGATGTCCCTCCCACACCCTTGTCTCGGCCCTGCGTAAGAGTAACCTGTTTACATTGCATTTTCGGGGGTCCTCGCCTGTCCTCAAGATTGGTGTCGTTTCTTGGGCCCGACGCGGGCTTGATGCAGACTGGACGCAGATTTGGCGTGGATTCGACGCGGACTCGACACGGATTCGGCACGGATTAGATGAGTCCGACATGGATTCGACACGGATTCGACGCGGATAGGGTCGCGATGGGAGAGACATGTTCCCCAGAGGATGCAACATAAATTTGTCGCCGGATTGATTTTTGGTGTTGGAGCCGGCAAGTGACGTTTGGTGCGCGATTTTAGGAGAAGTGCATTCAGCCATCTGGAGACCCCAATGTGCTCGCACCAAAGGTCGCCCAGTTGGCGGACCTCGGGGGATCGACTACGCGTACGAGTAACCCTTCGCCGAAGTGACTTTTGGTGCGGGCACATTGGGGTCTCCAGATAGATGAGCGCGATCCGATAGCAGCGGCCTGCGCGCTGGGGTTTGGCTCACCCGCGCTTCTCCGAACGTCGTGCACCCGAGGTCACTCTTGCCTGGGACCACTCCTGCTTGTAGGCGACTTGTCTTCCAGGACGGCCGAGATGGGTACGGAAAGAATGGGTCCAAAGACCCACAGCAGTTTGTGCATTTTGAACAGGACTCGCTGTCGGTTCCGATGCGGACGTTGCCCATTTGAGGCAGAAGTCCGCCTGCCCAACAGCGTCAGCTGCCGGTTTTTGACAACATTTGTTGTTGGGCATCGTGCCCCTTTCTTCCGTACCCATTTCGGGCCTCCAAATTCTTGCACTGGAACTCTGGACCTCCTCCTCCTCACCCACCCCGGCCATTCAAAACAGCTCCAGAGGGCACGAGTAAACGACCAGAGAAGGCCGACAGGGCCCAATGGCAGCCCGAACACTTCCAAGACTGCTCAAGAGGGCCCAATCAGCCCCCCTGACGGGCCCAGGGGGCCCGAAGAGCACCCCTCAGAGCCCCCCCCCCCAGGAGACCCAAAGAATTGATGTCCCATTTGTGGTTGTATGCCTGTCGCATGTTTGCCTTCACTCCTCAATGAGCCCACGATGGGCTCAGAGGTCCCAGAGCTCGGCCCTGGACGGTCCAAAGGAGCCCCAAGAGTGTGGGTCCAAGACGGCTAAAGAGGGCCCCCAGAGAAGCTCAAGACGGCCCAAGGGGGCCCTCAGAGGGGGTCCGTAGCCATTTGGGCTCATTCTCTGGCCCAGGCAGCCTCGGGCTTACCAGACACGTTTCCATCTCCGCCCACGAGAGCATCCGTGGCTGCAGCCTCTGCCCCTGGAAGGGATATGGCGGCGCTCCGGCGCCCCCTGCTGGCGGCCTCGTGGGTCACTGGTGCATTTGCCTTGTCCGCGGCCGGCAGGACAGGCAGCACGGCCGAGACGTTGCAGGGCACTGGCGCGAGGGCCAACGCGCGCCAGACGCCCGAGGAGCTCGGCATGGTTGAGGGGGTGGCCGAGGCGGGGGAGTTCGCGGCGAGCGCCTTCTCGGAGTCCTACTGCCTGGACATCGGGGCGAAGGGGTTCCCGATCCCGGTGTTCGAGATGATGCAGGCCGCCAAGTGGGACGTGGGCGTGTATTTCGAGAAGCTCGAGGCGCTGGGGTACGCCGACGACGCCCTGCAGGTGAGCGGCCCCCAGGAGGCCATGCTCCAGTCGAACTGCATGCAGGAGGGCCGCCAGAGCAGGACGAAGCACATCTTTGTCGGCGACTCCCAGATGATGGCGCTCCGCAACGCGCTCCACCGCCTCAACGGCTGCCCTGAGATCTGGTGGCGCAACACCACCAGGGACCATGAGGACTTGCTTGCGTCGATGAAGGCTGGCAAGCGCGTCAGGGCCAGCAGTGGCCGCTTCCACGCGCGCACCGACCAGGCGCCAGACGGCCCGTTGCCCACAGGGTGCAAGGAGGACGGCATCGCGTCGTTCATCTTCTGGGATGCCTGGCTTGATAGGGAGATCCCTCTTCAAGATATTCAGAACGAGATTGAGCTGCTCGGAGTCGAGCCAGCCAAGGGTGACACTGTAGTGGTGTGGATCGGCTCGAATTCAGTCTCAGGATCTGGCAGAACGAGTGTTCTGCGTAACACAATTGACAAGCTCATTGCCTTGGGGGTAAAGATAGTGTGGGACTCGCCAACCTACATTGACGATGCCCTGATGGCCGCGACAACGGCCAAGGACTTGGGTACCGACTCGCGCACTGGCATCCCCATCACCTACACCGCAATCGCTCAGAGGAAGGTCCGCGGCGAAATCGGCTCAAATCAATACAAGAGTGAGAAGGCGTTCTTAGCAGGAGGTGTCGAGATTCCGATGACGAAACGTTGGCAGTTGACGAACCGGTACAGGGGGCTCCAGTGCGATGGCATTCACAGCGACATGCGCGCGAGGGATCCGCTCTACTACGATCTTCCCTGTCCGAAGGGCCCAGAGACTTACGGTAGGTCCTCGCACTGCAACTGGGTGGAGCCCTTCGACGTCCGGGTGAGGCAGAGTTGCCCCCAGGCCGTCGGCCTGGATGATTTGGTGCTCCAGAGCGGCCTCTTTGCCATGTGTGCGGCTCACGAGAGCCCTTTCTGCTACGCGTACACCGAGCGCATCCGCTGATGCGCTCCGCCAGGCATTTTGTATTTTCATTTTTGGATCTGGAGGGCACGTGCTGGCATTAGGTGATTGACCGCCAGCTTCTGTTCTAGTTCTGGTGGCTTCCATGGTTCCTGCTTGAATGGCAGGCCCGTGGGTCGCTCGTCTCCTCCTCCTCCTCCTCCTGCTCCTCCTCCTCCTCCTCCTCCTCCTCCTCCCTCCTCCTCCTCCTCCTCCTCCTCCTCCTCCTCCTCCTCCTCCTCCTCCTCCCCCTCCTCCCCTCGATCCCAATCCCCCTCCTCCCCCTACCCCTCCCTCGTGTGTCGCCTCACCTCGGTTGTGTGCGCGATTGTGCGGTCTCACCTTTTCTGTTCGCTCTCGCCTGTCTTGTCTAGACTAGGCGCGTCGCCTCATGTGCTCGCTCCTGATGTGGATTGAATGTATGTCGGCGAATAGCGTGAAAAACAGAGGGCCCTCAGAGGGGCGCAGGACGGCCCAGCAGATCCGATTTGAGGGCCTCAAGACGGCACCAGTGCGGCCCGAAGAGGCAGCACGAGGGCCCCAGGGCGTCCAAGAGGCCCCCAAAACTGCTTGAAGAGACTTCCAAGATGGCCCGGAGGCCCCCAAGTCCAAGAGGCTCCACTACGACCCCAGAACGGTTGGAGGTAGCCCAGAAGCTTTTCAAACGGCCCAAGTCATCGAATTAGAGGCGCCTTTGTGCTGCGAGTTTCTGGGGCGCAGCTAGAAACTAAGCTCGCGCGAAGCGCGCGCGTGGTTCTAGCTGTATGCGGTACCGTGGTCATGTGGTAAGTTTCGCTTCTGGTGGTCAACATGGCGTTGATGTGGTGGACGCTTCAACGCACATTAGATACGCTTGTAATGATGTGTATGTACCCACCCCATGGTGCATACCGTATAGCAAATGGTCGTATGGGGGTGCACGTGGGTATGGATGTCCTTGCATATCGGGCGGAGTTTTCTCTCACACCTGCAACGGCGGTCGCCCAGTATTGTTTTTGACGGGGCTAATGATCCACCAATGGTCCCGCCAATCGTTAGATTGAGTTTGGCGCACGAAGCACCCCCTTCTGGAGTTGAGTCGCTGACGGCCCACTGGTAGCCCCCCAGTCAAGTTGACGCACTACCCTCCCACTTGACAGTGGAACATTGTTGGCTCGCATCCATACTTCCATTTTGCGTCCCACTAGTTAGGCCCAGTGCTTCTGTGAGGCAGGAGTTTTCGAGAGAAATTGTGGCATCCCCGCCCCCGTAGGTTGCGGACATTAGTGGATGGGCCGAGGATCGTCGGCAGTATTTGCGGGGCTCGACAGCACATGTTGAAGGCCGCCGCAGTCGCCGGCATATTTCAGAACAGATGTCGTCGGCGGCTCGACGGCGATCGTTTTCTTATTCACTATTTTGCCGATCGGCGCGGGCCCTCGCACCCCCCCTATGGAGTAGATCTTGCCTGTTGTTGGCGCCTCTTTCAAGCAGGTGGAGTCCTTCCACCATGGGACGCACTGTTGCCAACAGTGGCATTAAGCAGAGGTCCAGAGCAAGACCCCCTCCCTTCCGCCCAATGTCGAAACGCCGAATAAGAAGACGTTCACTGGGCGAATCGGGCCTCCAAATTCTTGCACTGGAACTCTGGACCTCCTCCTCCTCACCCACCCCGGCCATTCAAAACAGCTCCAGAGGGCACGAGTAAACGACCAGAGAAGGCCGACAGGGCCCAATGGCAGCCCGAACACTTCCAAGACTGCTCAAGAGGGCCCAATCA